TGTGTTCAGGTCTTACCTGTGCAGTCATGTGACCTGTGTGTTCAGGTCTTACCTGTGCAGTCAGATGACCTGTGTGTTCAGGTCTTACCTGTGGAGTCATGTGACCTGTGTTCAGGTCTTACCTGTGCAGTCAGGTGACCTGTGTGTTCAGGTCTCACCTGTGGAGTCATGTGACCTGTGTTCAGGTCTCACCTGTGCAGTCAGGTGACCTGTGTGTTCAGGTCTTACCTGTGCAGTCAGGTGACCTGTGTGTTCAGGTCTTACCTGTGGAGTCATGTGACCTGTGTGTTCAGGTCTTACCTGTGCAGTCAGGTGACCTGTGTTTCTCTGTTCAGGATGTTCCTGCAGATCTTCTGGTCCAGCTGGTCCAACAGAGACTGAAGGAGGTGGACTGTCTCCAGGAGGTGAGTTCTTCTCTTCTCTCCACTCGGGGGTCAGAGGTTGAACTTGTGGTGGACTCAGCAGCTCCTCACCTGAACACCAGGTGTGTTTGACTCTAAATAAAGTCAAGTCAAACCGTCTGACAGCTGGAAGCTGCCTGCAGTCAGACGGAGGATGAGATGATGGCAGCCTCTCTGATGAGAATAATTAGCTCTGTGGTGCTGATGTGTCAAACCAGGACTCCCAGCAGGCTGAGCAGTGTGGCGGCTCTGCTCCCCTGAGAGAACCTCTGAGAGCTGTCAGAGCTGAGCAGTGTTACACAGCGCCTCTGCTCGTTAGCATCACACAGAGCCTCTGCTCGTTAGCATCACACAGCGCCTCTGCTAGTTAGCATCACACAGAGCCTCTGCTCGTTAGCATCACACAGAGCCTCTGCTCGTTAGCATCACACAGAGCCTCTGCTCGTTAGCATCACACAGCGCCTCTGCTAGTTAGCATCACACAGAGCCTCTGCTCGTTAGCATCACACAGAGCCTCTGCTCGTTAGCATCACACAGCGCCTCTGCTAGTTAGCATCACACAGAGCCTCTGCTCGTTAGCATCACACAGAGCCTCTGCTCGTTAGCATCACACAGCGCCTCTGCTAGTTAGCATCACACAGAGCCTCTGCTCGTTAGCATCACACAGAGCCTCTGCTCGTTAGCATCACACAGCGCCTCTGCTAGTTAGCATCACACAGAGCCTCTGCTCGTTAGCATCACACAGAGCCTCTGCTCGTTAGCATCACACAGCGCCTCTGCTAGTTAGCATCACACAGAGCCTCTGCTCGTTAGCATCACACAGAGCCTCTGCTCGTTAGCATCACACAGCGCCTCTGCTAGTTAGCATCACGTCACACTTCCTGTTGGAGTGATACACAACACAGAGCTGCAAACACACAACACAGAGCTGCAAACACAAAACATAGAGCTGCGAACACACAACATAGAGCTGCGAACACACAACATAGATCTGCAAACACACAACATAGAGCTGCGAACACACAACATAGAGCTGCAAACACACAACAACAACAACACAGAGCTGCAAACACACAGCAACACACAGAGCTGCAAACACACAACATAGAGCTGCGAACACACAACATAGAGCTGCAAACACACAACAACAATAACACAGAGTTGCAAACACACAACACAGAGCTGCAAGCACACAAGAACACACAGAGCTGCTAACACACAACACACAGAGCTGCAAACACACAACAACAACACACAGAGCTGCTAACACACAACACAGAGCTGCAAGCACACAACAACACACACAGAGCTGCTAACACACAACACACAGAGCTGCAAACGCACAACACAGAGCTGCAAATGCACAACGTAGGGCTGCAAATACACAACACACAGAGCTGCTAACACAACACAGAGCTGCAAACACACAATAACAACACACAGAGCTGCTAACACAACACAGAGCTGCAAACACACAATAACAACACACAGAGCTGCTAACACAACACAGAGCTGCAAACACACAACACACAGAGCTGCAAACACACAACAACAACAACACAGAGCTGCAATCACACAACACACAGAGCTTCTAACACACAACAACAACACACACAGAGCTGCAATCACACAACACACAGAGCTTCTAACACACAACAACAACACACCAAGCTGCAAACACACAACAACACACAGAGCTGCAAACACACAACAACACAAATGGATGTTGTGTGTTGTCACAAACACAGGTACAGGTCAGTCTTAGGGTGAAGAGGGTCAAGTGGGTGGGACTAAGCACACAGCCCTGTGGTACTCTTGAGGTTAGGATTGTGGTGGATTTTGTTCTTTGTCCTGACATTTTGGGTCAGTTTTGACCAAAGTCCATGAACAGAAAGAGACAGAGTCCAGAAGGAATCAGGTTTGGACCAGTTTATGGGGGTCATGGTGCTGAAGGTGGAGCTGAAGATCCAGGTCTAGGTCAGTCTGGACCACAACACTTCACACTTCAGTTCTGCTTTTAAAAGATGTGTGCATTCAGCTTCCTCTGCATCTGCCACCGTGTGTGTGTGTGTGTGTGTGTGTGTGTGTGTGTGTGTGTGTGTGTGTGTGTG